GCAAATCAGTAAAATGAACCGCACAAAAAACTCACCTAGCGTATTCATTGGCAATGTTACTGAGAATCAAATCATGGAATTCATGAAAGCGTTCTATGGCCGTACCAACACCAATAGATGCAAAATATTGGTATACGACATGCAATACTGGCGAGGTTGGTGAGAATTGGAATACCTGAATGGTAAAGAGGAAGGTTTATGACGCCACAGCAACGAACAAGAAGCCATATGAACCAACACTTACAATGCAACTCTTCAATATATCTACCAACGCATCGACTATCTCTTTCTCTAATCCGACAAGCTTTACAAGCAAAGTCTTGCAAGAAGCATCGTCACCTGAAATGACGTTCTTAAGGAAGCCTTGAGAAGCGTGGAATAATATTATTCTTGATACTCCTAAAAAATCGGGCTTACATAAACCACACGCTTTTTTCAACGACAGGAGAATGAAGAGGGAGATTGAGACTTTCTTCGTTCGATGGGGACTAAAAACTTCTAGTTTTATGGGAACATAAACGCCTTTTCAGAGTAACTACTATGAGAGAATTAGGTTTGAAAACAGATTTTAAGCGATTCCTGGTTGTACCCTACCAGCCCCCCCCCCCAACCGATTCGCGAAGGTCCACATTCGGAGTAAAATGACTGGGGTGAAAGTATACAATGAGGAAGAGCGAGAATTGTCCTTGGCCATGATATGCAAAAAAAGCAAAAACAAAAAAACGGTATAGTAATGACATGTCTACTGGTGTCAGAATCCGCGATCCTTTGCGTGATTTTGCGGAACGCATCGTTTTGTACTCCTTCTGACTAGTAAAGGACGCCATTCGTTACGGGTCCCACTGCCTCCTGCTACAGTGAACCCTTCAATGTGGAGCGGGGAATCCGTGAGCCAGGGGCAGTGTCGCCAGTCTAGGGGGGTGGGGGGTGAGGGCAGACACTTGACATGCGTGAGAAGCTGGAATGTTCGAATTCAACCGCGATCACATGGGATCCCCGCGGGTTAAGGCAGTGGGTCCCGCAACGAATGGCGCCCTATACTAGTCAGTAGGAGTACAAAATGATCACTCCGATTTTGCGTCGCGCGACGGGTCACGGAAATCACAAGTGCCCCATCAATACTGCAAGGTGTTCTCCAATCCCGCCGTCACTTCTGCTTGATGGTTATGGTTTAATGGAGACTGCTCATGATTCCACTTGTTTCATATCCAGTGTTTCAATTGTTCAAATGGGGCACTTGCAATTTTTGTGATTGGTTTGGTTTGATTCCTGAAAAAAATAGGAACGATTCAAGAGCATTTCAATGAACTAATAGACATTGAACATGAAACAAGTAGAACCACAAACATTCGTCTTCCAATCTTTACTGCCAAGCAGAATTCGCAGCAGGATTAAACAACACCTCGCAGTATTCATCGGGCACTTCCAACTCCTGTGATCCATCGCAGGTTTCGCGAAAATCGCGAAAATCGCGCAAATCGCGAAAATCGCGCAAAGGATCGCGGACTCTGACATCAGCCTAAGAGAGCCCTGAAGTCCTGGAATTCTGCATAAACACAAATTTTCTAATCCCTTCATGGGAGCTGAACTGCTTCCATTTCCCTCAGCGGAATCGCAACAATGACTTCTACGTTGCGCAAGGTGGATGCCAGACTCGACGATTGTGCAATCGAGACAGCGTTGTGGCAGTTTGCTTCGCCGTGGCCGAGTGTTGCGTGTCGTTATCGACCCGTATGGCATGAGGGGGCGCGCTGTCGCGATTGTACAATCGCCGAGTGGCCGATGTCAGACTTTGCGATTGGAGCGATTTTGCACCAATTGCAGGAGCGACGGATCGCTTGAGCGATGCGAGCGACGGGAGATTTACCCCGCCGAATACCGATACACACGGCGCCGCTCGCATCGCTTGAGCGATCCGTCGCTCCTGCAATTGGTGCAAAATCGCTCCAATCGCAAAGTCTGACATCGGCCAGTCTGACGTCCTAAACACTGCAGCATAAATAGATTGAACATGCATCGAAATGCTACGATTTCTACGATTTTGGATGGGGACGAGTGGTACACAAAAAAGGTCCATTCAAATGAGAGGGCGATAAAAAGTTAGGCTATTATAAAAGGTTAGTGGAGAAGGCGGAGTTGTCCAAATGAATGATAGGTGGCGCTTTTGTGGCAGAGAGCGCTCCTTTACCACTTTGGTAATGTGCCAAAAGCACCTGAACAGTCGCTACTCGTCGACAAGCCCACGATGGCACACATGGAAGGAATCATAACAGCTATAAACTGACTAAACCGTTATCATCGTCGCTCGATTTTGTTTTCCCAACTTTACCGTTACAAAGCCTGTCGAGCCAGTAGTTGCCTATAGATAGTCGTTGGCGATGTCCCTGTCTACCCTCAGGCAACCACACAAACGACTTCTACGTCACCAATGAATTCATTCACTTCCGAATCAACGGACTGAAAGTGTTCCCTTTCTCGAGTTCTCAACCATTTCTTTTTTTTCCACGAGTGCACCACTTTGCACCTCTACTTTCATATTTTAAGGGTTCAACACCTATGAGCTACCGATGGTGCTCCAAGAAGAACAATCATCAGGTCATAGGAGTTGAGAGAGCCAGTCACCGTGATGCCACGCAGCTTGTCTGCACCTTTCGGCCGATGTAGTGGAGGCTTGCACTTACACTGTAGCGCCGAAAGGTTCATTCATATCCTAAATTCTCACCCATGTCAGATAAGTTGTTCTACCCACCCACTCCAACTGCCCACATCCCACCTTGGCTCACGAATCATTTGCTTTGTACTGATTACAACAATATTCTGAGATGCGTTCAGACTTCGGCGATTGCGTCGCTGTACACCAGCGACGGAGTAGCCGGCGACGGCCACCAAAAAAGTTGTGAAATACAACTATCATGGATTTTCCCACTCGATCAAAGAACCAATCAAGTTTCGAGCTAGTTACTTCAAGATACCTTTGAAGTTATTACAATGACAGGGAGGACCACTATCCTGATTAAGAATTTGAAAAAAAAAACCGAGCAGAACAACATGAACGATGGGTGAGGATGATTAATCTCCCCCTGCCAACCGATATCGATCGTGTGCTGAGTCATCGCCCGTTGCTGCCACTCTTGTGCCGGGCAACTCCGTCGCCAGCGACGCAATCGCCGAGTCTGACCGAGTCTGATCGCCAATCGCCGAGTCTGACCGACGGCAATGCTGTCCCCAGCTAGGGGTACCACCGTCTTGTTTGTTATTTGTTATTTCCTTCCAAATATTTCAGCGGATATTTTAGTTTGACACGCTTTGCTTTGCTAATCGCCTAGAAACTTTGAAATACATTTCAGTGATTTGATTTTATTTCCTGATTTTTTATAGTTAGCGACAAGTGCCCCTTCCTTATTCTGGTGCATATCTATTTAGTGACGGAACCTGATTAGCTAATGGCGAATGTACAACCTATTTCTGGAAATCTTGAAATGTAGTTCATTTGTTAGCTCTTCAGGAAGCACAGTGCTCGCGGCCAGCATTGGTATTCCTGGCACATAAGGTCTGTTTATTCCTTGCTCTTCCTCAGAGGAGCATTTTAAACAGATGGTGAGGTATCTGCGGGGGCGTTGCACTGTTATTTGTTTTATGTTGCTTAGCTTTTCTACTAGTTCCATATTATTGTTTTACAGAGTCCGGTCGAGTTAGACTCCTTAGTTTACCATGTGGTTCAATGTCTACTTTTCACTTTTGATGTTTATTTTATATTCACTTGATTCGGAGTTAATGGTGCACCTATGTGAAACAAATAAATAAATTAGTACTCAGTATCAAAACACTCACTTAGCAGAGCTTGTCTGACAGTTTTCTGGAGGAGTTTACTTTCTTCTTCAGAGCAGAATTTCACCTTCTTCGATGGAGGAGGAACCATTAAACAAGCACTACGTCTCCTAGCGTCTTCGCCTGTTCTTCTCTCTTCTGGTCCAAACCTAAATGAAGCAGTTCAGATTGCCGCGCAATTAACAATTAACATTTCAAGGGCAATTTTAATTTACACCTCACAAGTACCCATGATGCAATTACTGCTTAGATGTGACACCGCGCTACGAAGAAAGGAAGGATTCGATGAACACCATGCAAAGAGATTTTCAGTCTACAGGCTACACAAATGCTTGAAACCTCTGGGTGTCTGCATTGTCATAAATGCCAGAGGGGAAATGATTATGATGTTGATACATGCTTACCGACACCGAATCATGAATAATGAATTCCTAAATCGTCCTTAGCATACGAGAGAAAAGGCTACCGTGAAAAGAAGTGATGTCGTGGGAGAAGTATAACATGTGATCCGCCATCCCACACAAGAAGTGTTCCCACAGGTTTGCTCCTGCTGCGCTTTCAACGAAACAACTAGTAATTGAACAGCCCACTCAACAATGAAAAGCGCCAGTGTTTTGCCGGTAGAAAGGAACAGAGGCATTAATAAATCTAACGTGTGCCTACGGTACCTAGCCCAATTTACGCAATCCACCACGTCTGCACTCGAGCACTATCGTAGTAAATTTTTTGCTAAAATTTTCCGGGAAACAATTTATGCGACATCGTTTGTGTTACCGTTTTAGTTTAGTCTGAAGAACTATTTTCGAAAACTCGAAAAGAAAAACGCCGAAACGCCAGTGAAGAAGCGTCGATATGTTTAGTAACTGCATGGGGACGTCATCTAGACATTCGAAGAAACGGCGTGGAGACGATGAGGACTCCGACGGCGGCCGGCGAAATAGAGAACGAAATCATTCAGTTTACCAGGTCGAGGTCCCCTTCGCCAAAGCCTAAGAATAGGGTTTGTCTACATCTTAAGGAGTGCCAAGGAAGTAGTAGGGTCAGTTGTCAGATAGGACAAAAATGAAGAGAGCTGCACGTCCTCTGCGGATGCTGATGAGACGGTGTTCTCATCAGCATTCGCAGAGGACGTGCAGCAGTTGCAGGTTGGGGGAGGGTGGTGAGATTAACGAGGTTGTTTGAGTAGTGATGCTGTAATTGCTGGTGCTTTCTTGATATGATTTTCGGAATCTCGATATTCCCTTGACCTTAAATTCAACTTTACAGATCACGTAGACGTGAAAAAGAAAAGGAATCCAGTCCGCCACCGAAGGATGACGTGTACGTGACAATTTTGCGCATGTTTTTTTCAAGAAGTGGTTTATTTGTTTTAGTGCGGAGTCGCGAGCATATTCACTCCGAAAGAAGACAATAAAGCCTCCGATCCCCTAGCGAAAATTAGGATTGCTCGCTGTGAAATGATGACGGGGCCAAGGTACGTTTCGCCTTTATCACACATTACTGTTGAGCAGGGGTTAATGCTCTTTTTTGAACATGGGGGTGCTATACTTAGTTGGGGGCAGCGCGACCACGTGGCGGCTGTAGGTGTTGCGTTCGTCTCGCTCAGGCTCAGTTCCGATGACGCGGTATCTATTTTTTTAACTACTCCATGATGATCGGCAAAGTAACGTTTTCCCTGGCGACTAGCTGAGAAACAGCAGGAACAGGCGCCAGCGCCCGCGTGGTTCCCCCAACTAAGATAGCGCCCCTGTGGGTGCACTGACATAAGCACTTCAAGATCTTTGTAAATATCGCCTTCTAAATCGAGTTCCTGGTGAAACTTGGATTGGGGGGGGGGCGCATGCAATGGCGCGGCGCTGTTTTCGTCTGCTCTACCAAGGCTTATCAATTAGTCACCGATGACGTGTATTTTGTAACTGCCACATAATGGCGAAAAAGTAACTGTCCCTGTGGACTAAGCCTGGAGGAGCAGACGATCAAGCGCGCCGCAGCATCGTGTGCCCCCGCCCCGAACCCGAGTTTCACCGAGCTCCTAGGTGGCTACTCCACATTCTTCAAGCAACCAGATCTGCATTTTTGAGATTAGTACCGCTTTTTTCAAACAGCTGTCGAGAAAAATAAACACTCTTTCCTTTTGCAAGCGTAGTCTCTGGAAACAGGAGGGAAATCAAACTGGGCTGTAACAATGTATAGCATAGTCACTGCGCGTCAAGATATTGAAGCAGTTGATCTGGCTTGTACTCATCATATGTGCCTTTAATCTGCATGTGTATTGATTGTAGCACGAGAATTGAAGCGATGCCCACAACCAGTACCATGTCGAGATGGCTTCGAAATTTCGGCATAAAGAGCAGAAAAATGGAGCGATAAGAAGAGAAAGAGAGCAGAGCATGAGACGGAACAGCTTTGAGGTCACTTTTCCCTCATTTCAGAGTGAGTTTCTCTTGCTCATGAGCTCTATCCAATTTGAAAGCATTCAGATCGCGAAGAAGAAGCGTCAGGTTTACGAGCGGGTGTTAGTTGCCAAGAGTATAGCGGAATCGATTCTGATGACGATGCAGCTGATTGGGTAGCTAAAATGAGGAGACAGAAGAAGAAAAGAAGCGTGCCTGAGAGAGGCAGTGGGTAGGTGTATTTTTTTGTTATCCGTCCAGTACCCAATAGTTGATTTAGTTTGCAGTGCTAAAATGCTGGCATGCTATGGATGAAGACATCAAAAAAAAAAAACAAATTTGGCAGTAAATAGCATCATAGTGAGGGAGATAAGTCGAAGACAGGACAAGAGAAGCACCGGCAACAAGCTAAGGTCCCTAACCTTTATACTAATATTTATGTTCAACTGCACTCGAACAGTCTTGGTAAGTCTTAAATTTAGCTTACTCTATTTAGGAGAGAAAGCAAAGAATTCATACACTGGTGGTCTGGTGGTTGGGCACTCAAAAGAGGCCTTCATTGGAGCCTCAGACCAAATTCTCGTGCTCGACGACAAAAGTATGTCTTGCAGAAATCTGAATATATTTGCTTTATTATTCAAAATTTTGTGTTTCTCCAAATTTATCAACAGAATTCAGATCATTTCGAATATTTCAGGTGTTCTTGACGACGGCGAAGAAGTTCTTGTCAATCCTAATTTGATAGAAAATGAAAGATATGCTCGGAATAGAGAGCTCAAGAGGCGCAAAGAGCTACAGAAAGGTTTTGACGATGTGGACGAATTTGGAAATGTGGTGTAACTATCCTGTGTTTTCTTAAGCAATTCGATTATATCACTCCTGCTCATGCCAAACTTTCAAACCTTTTCCCCTTACTGCTATTCATTAAAGAAGGATGAATTTTGTGTGAGATGTGATTCTTGAGAAATTGTGTCGAAGAAAAGTATGACCTGATATTTCGCTGCACTGCGAGCTCGTGAAGGATTGCATTCCGCTTCACCTTCCTCGAGCCGCGACCAGCTTGCAGGTTTTAGTCGGCCCGGTCATCTGATCGCACAACCGACTTTGGGTTTGATACGCATCGAGAATGCAACCGCAACGATCATAGAACCGGAACTGTGGCTTCAGAATCTTCTTTTGAGACTAGTATTCGTTTCTCGTCCTATAATCTCTATAGCAGCTTATGTGGATGACCAGAAAGAATTGATTACGGTAGATTCCTACCCTTAAATAAATCCACTTCTTGAACATCTTCTTCATTTCCGTGTTGGAAACACCAATGACTGTCCGTGTATTCTTGGTTCATGTAACCGTTGAAGGATAGCAGATAAAGCGTCGGACGCCTAGCCGTCCTTCGAAGATACGCGCTTATTATTAGGGTGGTAAAAAAGTCCTGAGCCGTTTGACACTTTTTTGTTCTTTGCTTTTTTATTCCGCGTACAATGGAATCTACTAAACAATATAATCACCATTGTTACTCACTACAGAGTCCCACCTAATGGGCAGGTCAGCGACCCTTCTCCCAGAACTGAGCAGACTGAGAGTCAAAGAAATCGCTGACCGCTCTTTCAACGTCTTCAACTTTGGTGAATTTTTTCTTCGCTAGGAATGCCTTAAGGGGATGAAATAAGTGATAATCAGAGAGGCAATGTCAGGGGAATAGGGTGGGTGGGGAACCGCGTCCCAGATCAGCTCTTCCAATTTGCACGGGTCTCTTTAGCTATGTGGGGCCTGGCGTCATCGTGGAGTAGGTGGACAGAAGTTCGTCTCGGTCGTTTTTCTTGAACAGCGTCCGCTAGTTTCTGGAGCTGACTGGCGTAAATGCTGCCAGTAGCGGTATGTCTTTGGGAGCATCTCATAATACAACATTCCTCACGATCGCAACGGTAGGAAGAAAGCTTTTGGGGTGAAGGTACGATTTTGCTTGCGTCGGCGGGTCTTCTCCTCGAGGTAGCCACACGGCACTGTGCTTGTTAGAATCGTAGAGGACCCCACTCCCATCTCTCGTAATCATGCCTTCCAGAAACGCCTTTCAGTGCGGACAAAGAAGGAGAAACTAAGAAATGGGTAACCGATTGAACCGCGATTCTACTCGGTCAAGCCATGAGGAATCCTCGAGTCAGCATTTTCCTTTGGCGAGGGCGTGGAGGGGACCGAGGACTGTGGGATGGGTGCACCCGAGCCTTATCACAAGGCTGCGGGTGCTAACCTCCGGATCCTCTTCGACAACGGAACGCGTGAAGTTCTCCATGTTTGGTGTTCAACTTATGTTGACTTCGGAAGCCGTGTCTCCTCCTTCGAAGCCTGCGAACCAGAGCTTGGCACCGATGATGGAAGTGGTGTCCCTTCCCAATGCGATGCTGATAATGTTGACGGTTTCCACTGCTCCTGTGCCGCAGCGCCATTCATTGAAGATGATCGCTCGAAAGTGCTCTTGTGGAATCGACATCATGATTAAAGTTAAAGAAGGCAACCCGGCTATATATACCTACTGCGGAGAAGTATGATCGACAGCGATAATCTATCACGTAGCAGATTCTAGGTATCGATCAATAAGCGAAAGTTCTAGAGCTTTCGAATCGGCTCAAGGACTCTTTTACACCCCACAGTAGATTGTTCGTGTAACCGTTGAAGGATAGCAGATAAAGCGTCGGACGCTTAGCCGTCCTTTCGGGATACGCCGCTTATTTAGTTACCATAGAATCATAGCGGTATTCAAACATGCTTTGGTCCACACGGTGCCAGGACGGCTGATGTACAAGTCAGTATTCCCTCGTGCAGAGGGATATATACTGATTCCCGTAGACAAGTTTGGTGCTGACTTCGAAGTGATGCTGATTAGTGCGACATTACCTCGTAGTAAGTGGATTGTCTCACTGCTTGCTTCCACCTTCGGTGAGGCGCCCACTGTATGTATATTGTTTGGGATCTATACCCTGTTCCCATCTAAGTATTCTCAGGGCTCTTTTCTACCAAGCGAATGCGCATCTCTCTCGTTGCCAAGTTTCAATTAAAATATATAGGTAAGCGATGAATACGGTAATCAAGTGTTTATGACACAGAAAACGTAGTTCGAAGTGAGCACTATGAAATCAGCAGCGCGGCTGCGCTCTGTCCATTCGAATTTTATTTGAATTCGCCTCTGCGTTCTGTTTTGCGCGTAAGTGGGCAACTCTGAAGAGGGTCTTAGACGAATACTTGCTCGATCTACAACCTGAAAAAAAGCAGTGAGCACATGCGTGCTCAATATAACTGTTGTTGTTTATCTGCCACTGTGTGACATAATCATTTTCAGCAAAAATCGTATGGAGTCCTGACAAAATATGATGAAGAGCTTGAAGGTGTGCAGAAGGAAAAATTTCGCCTCGATGAAGCTGGTGGATACGATCTCGAAAAAGATGAAAGGTTCGCAGATTTAAGACCAACATCTTTGCACATTTAATGGCAGGCATCAATGCTATTTACAGGGAAGCAAGAATGCGTCGAGAGTTGGAGATAGCAGGTAAAACTCTGGTTAGCATGGAAATGCAAAAATATCAAGTGGGAAGCGAATTCTATACGAAAGTAGGTTGCTTCAACCTTGTACCTGTGCCCGCCCCGTATTTAGGCTCTTACGTTTGATGGATTTTATTTTTGTTCTGTTAGTTTCTGGTAAATTGTTTCAAAAACTGCCGAGTTTCTTCATTATAAAGCATTGTACGTGGTTTTGTTCAGGAGGAAATGACCGCTTTTCGTAAAGTCAAAAAAGGCAAAAAGGAAAAATCTACGCGCAAGAGGAAGATTCTCAAAGCCGAAGATTTGGTTCCTGAGGAGCCTGCGAATGGAAAGGATTTGGGTTCTAGGTGCATTTTTATTCCTGACGTGCTTGTGTTTGCTAGCAGTGTGCTTTGGCGGACAATAGCAAACGGGTAGTTTTTCACGCCACTGAGG